AGAACGAGGAAGGTGGTTTTGTGTGTGTGTGTGTGTGTGTGTGTGTGTGTGTGTGTTTTTTTTTGAGGCAGAATCTCACTTTGTTGCACAGGCTACAGTGAGTGCCGTGGCATCAGCCTAGCTCACAGCAACCTCAATCTCCTGGGCTCAAGCGATCCTACTGCCTCAGCCTCCCAAGTAGCTGGGACTACAAGCATGTGCCACCATGCCCGGCTAATTTTTTCTATATATATTTTTAGTTGGCCAATTAATTTCTTTCTATTTTTTTTAGTAGAGACGGGTTCTCGCTCTTGCTCAGGCTGGTTTCAAACTCCTGACCTCAAGCAATCCACCTGCCTCGGTCTCCCAGAGTGCTAGGATTACAGGCATGAGCCACCACGCCTGGCCAGGAACGAGGAACATTGAGGGGGTCAGAGGTGTGGGGTTTGAATGGAGAGGATGGAAGAGATGGAAAGGCAGTCCAAAGTCTCTGGGAGATGGAGTGAGGGCTAAGGTAACCTCTGGGCCCACTGAGGGCAGGTAAGAATTTCTATGATACATTCGCTTGGAGAAATTAGGCACACATGGTTTTTCTATATCCCTTCCTTTATCTTCATGACTTCTTATTCTCCTGCCTGAAAAATATTTCTGATTCACTTCTAATTAGAATCAACATTTTAAGTTCAGACTTATTTTTTAGAGGGGAATGTTTGACAAATTAGCACCCCAATATCCAAATGTTAAAAAGAGCTTTAAAATTAAACAATGATGATATCCACTCTTCTGAACATCTGAAAAAGAAAGCCCAATTATTCTTTGTAGGTTGGAATATCCTATTATAATGAACTTTAATCCATACTAAATGGGCTTTAAGAAAACAGGCTTTTCTCACCTCGGTTCAATTTCATTTTTCAGTTTTAATGATTTGCGGTAGCTCCTGCTAATTTTTGTTAGCCATGCACAAATGCAAATGGTAATGAGGCTTTTGTGTATGTGTGTGAAATTCAAAATCCATCCCTAGTCTATTAACTCTGTAAAGAAAGTTACACCGTAGGAGGCCATAGTGGTCTGAACAAAAAGGCTTCCATTGTACAAAACCAATTTCCATGTAATCAAGTTGGGCGACAGAGTGTTTGCTCTTGAATGATATTTGTGCAGTGTTAGAGATGTCTGACCTGCGCTCTGTGCTGGCAGTTCTATCACTTAGCCAGGTGGAAGGTCAAAGGAAAGAAATGTCTCCTGAGTGTCTCAGCTGAAATCGTGAAGCTTCATAATAGCATCGCTTCCTGGCCGCCTCGACTGCTGCTTTTGTCAAACTAAAATCTGGTGAAGCATGTGCATCTTTTAACTGCTTTACTTGGAAAACAGCCAGAGATATCTGTAGATAAAAAAAGAAAAAAGTGCCTCATTTTGGTGCCAGAAGTTTCCTTTTCTTTTAATTTGTTAAGTTTTGTTAAAGTTATAGCTAATGCGTGTTTCCATGTCACGTGGCTAACCATAGTCCAGGCACTTAATAAAGGTTCAGTAAATATGCATTTTATTAATGATTGAATGAATGAACAAACCAAATGTCTCTTAAGCAACGGATGGAATATCATATGACTTAATCATACCATTCTACTCTAGAAAGCTTGTTTTATTTTGATCTAACAACATTTATTTGCTATAATTTTGTTGTAATTAAAAAAGTAACACATAGTCCTCTTCCATGGATGTGATATAGTTGCTTTTGTTTTGAGCAGATAACTTTGTAAGATTAGAAATAAAATTTTGCAATGTAAGCAGTCATTAGATGATTTTATGCCCTTAATAGCATTTTAGTTCAGTGAAGAATCCCAGTGTCCTACAAGTCCTCTCTACATGGTTCTGCAGAAACCTTTGGAGGTTCCTAGCAGCAACCTGATTGTCATAAAGGCAGCATGCAAAAGCTCTCACGGGATTGCCCCAGAATCAAATACAAGAGCCGAGCACTACTTTTAAGAAGCAGCACCACACTGACATGCTGCCGGGTTCTGCCTTATAAATCGATGCTGATACAATTCTACAAGTCTGTAATCAGTTTGAGATCATGCTCTGGTGTGTTCTACAACAGACAGATTGCAATTTTCACTTTAGTTTTCTAGTAAAACAGGAAATGATTGGGAGAGTTACCCTGCAGTATTCTTACTAATAGCTTAATAAAAAAAAAAAAAGAAAGAAAGAAAGAAAAGAAAGTATTAACTTCTGTTCATTTGGTTGCTACAAAATTGAAAAAGTAGATTTTAGTCTCATCATCTTTGAAACTCTGACTTTTTTTCATACCACATTGTATTTTACATGTATGTTCCCTCTTCTGTGCCCAGATTACATGTTCCTCCAGTGGAGGGTCTGTTCAGATATTTTATATCCATATATCCCTCGGTCCTGGCTCCAAGTCTATATATGTTTCAGAGTGAAGTAATAGAAACATACTTTTTAAAGTTAAAAAAGAAAAAAAAGTAGAGGGCTGTTAGTGTTAACTCAAAAATGCATTTGCCAATATTATTGATTTGCACCTGTATCTACAACCTGAAACTAAGAATGAACTCTTATATCCAAAGCTCTTACACGGTAAGACTAAACCAAATGTACATGTTAACTGCACTCCAACTTATACAATCAGTCCAATTGGAGCTAACGATGTTACTTTTGACGTGGCAGGTGAGGTTGTCTTGTCAAAATTGGTTTAATGCTTACAGTTCTTAAAAATCTGTTTTCTCTTTCTTTTTTACTTGAGTCTCAACTTTTTGAGTCTCAATTTGAATCGCAACAGTTTGAGTAGGATGGATAATTATTTGAATCATCAACATTGTCTCGGTTAGTATTCCTTTTAACAGAGTAATGTAAATCACTGTTTGTTTTGGTGGGCCAGTTAATTTCACATAGCACCTTAAAAGACAGCATTCATTTTTCACAAAATACCATACGTGGGACACTTCCCATTGCATGTTTGCTCCCACACTTGATGTTAATGAAGTATGTAAAGTCAGCGTGTCCAGGTCAGAACATGCGTAGGTTCTCATGGCCACTTCAAGGTGTTCGGAATCCTTCATGCCACCACGTGAGATTTCAACTCTCTCATGAGTTCTCGCTGGGAAAACTTTGGAGAGTTTTATTGATGTGTCAGCTCCTTGGCTGTAAGGAGTCAGATGAAGTAGAATTTTAAATTTTTCCTAGGATTTGCAAAACCAGCAATCATGCCTCACATCCTTCCTGTCCCAAGGTTTAAGAAACAAAGCAGTAAAGGTACAGTAAGTGGGGCATAAGGGTGGCCTGATTTACAGGATTCTTTAAATAAAAGTTTGCATATTTCTATGTATGGTGGATGGATTTATATTTTTGCTATTTTTTCTTTGATTCAATGGAAATAATAAAGTTGCTGGATTTTCTTTCAACAAGTTGATGTTTCTTTGGTAGCTTTCTAAAAAATATTACAAGTATTTACCAATAATAGATGTTGGGGAGGGTTAAGCTTTCTAATTATTTATCCAAGGGTATCATATTGTACTCAAACAAAATTTTTCCCAAACTTAACAGATTCCTAAAATGAAGAACTGTTGGCACTACTTTCATCCATGGTCCTATTGCAGTTTAACTCCAGTGGCTTAAAAAACAAATCAAGACACAAAAGTCTCAAAATGTAACTGTAACTCTTGAAGGTTTAAATGCCAGTAATAGAATTTTCAGTCTCATGCCTGGATATCTACCTTTTAGAAAATAATTAGGCACTAGAAGAATTGAACTCGATGCTATAGAGAAACAAGTATTAACTGACTGCCAAATGCCAGTCTATTTATTTCCATCATGAGCTCTCTGATTATTTCTTAGCTTATGTAATTTTTAGAAACTTTGAATTAAATAACAATTACAGCAACAAGAACTTATGTTTATATATTTAGAGGCAAATGGAATTCAGTGCTACACTTTTAACATATCTCATCTCCTTTGCTACTCACAAAGCGCATTTGCCCTGGGACTTATTATTACTTCCATTTGAAATTATGAGAGATTTTAGGCTCAGGGAGGACTCTGACTTACCCAAGGCCTTCCAGTGAAGCAGGGATCCTGGGATGTGGGTGCAGCCCGTTCTCAGAGCCAGATGGAATTCCTCAGTGCTCACAGCCTGGCTTTCTTCAACACATAGGCACCTCAAAGTCCTTGTCACCACAGAGTCGTCTTCCAGCGTTCAAATTCTGTATCTTTAGGCTACAGTTGACATATTGCTTTGGAAAGCTGTGATAAACAGAACTCCTTTAAGGACCTAATTCTAATGCATGAAATTTTGGAAATGAGTTTGATAACTGTGGTCACATTCTAAGACTTTAAATTTTGAGCATCTTTGGGAAACTATGAAAAAGTCTATGGAATATGACTTAAAATTTTTTAAAAAATAATATAAGAGTTCAGTATGCAAATGTTTACAGGCTTGCCATGCTAAAAATACCTAATATAATAAAAATAATTCAAAAACAGGTAAACTAGGAACTAGTTAATGGCATTTTAAAAGTAGATTTTTTACTTTATAAAAAGGTCCCTAGGGTTCCTTTATGTGCTCAGCTCTCCTGGTGCATTTGAATGTTTGATTATGCATCATTAACTACTTGATGAAATGGCTGGGGAAAAAAAGAGGAAGTAAAAATTGCTAAAGGTTTGGGAATTGATACTAATACAAAACACTCAAAAAGGATGATAACACATTTGAAATGTAAATGTAAAGTTTAATGGGAAAATTTCATTTGAATCACCCTAATTTTATTTATATTCAGTGATTTTGTTAAAGACACCATTGGTAACCTAAGATCCTTTCTTACCCAAATTGCTAATATCTTCCATTCATTAATTCAATGCATTTTTATTGAATGTCTAGTGTGTTCTAGGCACTGTGCAAAGCAATGATGAGCAGAACCAGACACAGTCTGTGACCTCATAGAGCATGAACTATAGTGCTTATTATAATAATTTTATTTTGAAGTTTTATGGGACTAGAAGATGTGAAATAGTAATGAATAAGAAAGTTATTCTTTTAAAAACTTACTCAAGCAGCTCCATGCAATAATATCTTTGTCTTTTGTAGTGTATCTTCTTTACACACTTTCCAAAATATATTATTCTAATGAATGGTCATTATTTTCTGGATTATTTGTAAAAGATAAAGGGAAAAGCTTTTCTTAATTTGGTCCTTGGCATATTTATATGGATGTTTTGAGGCTACAGAAATGGAAATTATCATAAATATCCCAACTGGCACATTTATTAGCATGAGCTCACATAATATAGATGAATCAACCTGACATTTTTTTCCTGTCCTATTCAGTCACCATAATAATTGGTTCTATTACAGGTGAGTACTGTGATCTTAATTTCCTTCGGCAAGCCTGAGTGATTTAATCTCATCTGTGAATTATGAGTTGAACATATATTTCAAGTTTTAAAAATCCCATAATTTTTGTGAAGATCTCTCTGCCTTATGAATTTACTAAAAGAAAGCAATCTATTAGTACTTCACATATATTTACTTATTTGTGTGTGTTACAACTCCAAGCTCTGTTTATATAAGCTATCCATAGGAACTGGTTTTAATTCATTTATTTTTAGCATGATTACAACTTTTAGTTGAGCAAATATTGGACTTTATTAATCCCACCTGTGCGTCCTGCTGGGTAATAACATGTATTGGCACATGTATTTAAGATTCTTCAGGCTTTAAACAAAACCGTTGCCATGGAAACCTGATTTCACAGCCCATAGTCCTTTGCAGAACTACGCCTGCCTTATGGTAGAGGTTTCCATGGCAACATTTTTGTTCAGGGAACAGAGAACTTGAAAAGAATATGCCACAAGTCTCTTTTAAATATATGTGTTGATATATGTATGTGTGATAATACTGTAGTTAATGTGCTTTTAGAAATACAGGCGGCCCCATGATGAGGCTTCCACTGAATAGGTTCATACTGAGTTTGGTGGTCACAATGCATTGGATTCGGAAATTAGAGCAATTTTTAGTCTCTTTCTCTCTCACTACCCTTCCCTTGTCTGACCCTAGAGTGTGGTGAGGTAATCCTCAGTGGCTAGCATTACCAGCATGATCATGTGTGATAATGCAAAACTGTAAGGGAAAGATGTGTAACTGATGTCTGGCCCAGCTCGGCAGGCTCTCTTTAAAAGGGCAGCATCAATCTTGGGAGCCTCCAAGGCTACAGAATATTCTCCTTACGGTTCTTCAACTTCCTCACATACACTTTACTCCAAAGGTCATGGACTCCAACACCAAACCATCATGAGGACAACATAAAAAATAGCTTGAATATTTTTGATCTGGGGTCTAGTCTCTTTGTCTCTTGTATTACCTTTCAGCACAAAAATAGTTGACAACTTTTCAATTAAAGTGGCCCAAGTTCTTCCTTTGCTCATCATTCACCTGTGTCATATGACACTTATAATCAGGTCACGTGGGAAGAGTGGGCTATTGCCCTGCAACAGATAATCTGGGGTCACCATGGGGACATAGTTATGGTTCTATCAGCTATCATGTGTATCCTCATCCATCAGGGCCATGCTTGGGTGGCTGCAGGTATGCTGGCATCCTGCTATTTCTTGGCAGGTCTCAAAACATGCAGCAGTGGATTTTACAGCAGCCTCAGAGGCTGCTACATTCTCTGGAGGAGCTGAATAGGGGCTATTATTAATGCCAATCATCCCACACCCACAAGGATATCAAAGGGACTTTTAGAGACCACAAGGCTGCTTTCACAGAAACCCTAATCAAATCACCTTCCTTGAGCAGGGAAAGAAATGTAGGAAAATGAGGTGGGTTAAAGGAATTAGAACAAGTAAATGCATTCAGAATACATTTATGACAAATTAGCTCGGAGTGCAAATAGAGATTGATTTGTCTGATTGAGTGGAGGCATAACTTAGAAGCCTGAGGTCAGCCTTCTGCCAATTTAAGCTCTTAGAAAGTTAAACAAATACAGACTGGTGCAAAAAAGCTCATCTCTTCCATATTTATATACAAGGAAGGAGGGAGGGAGGGAAGAAGGGAAAGAAAGAAAGAGAAGAGGACAGAACAGTAAATATAGGCATAGTGAAATGATAAACTCAGTAAATCAATAGAGAAGTATGGCACTACAAGGAATGGGCAAAAAAACTTGTAGGTGAGTTTCAATGAGAGGTAAGTACAAGGGTTATAGCAGAAGCTGTACTAGACCATGAGTCAAACAATCTGCTAACTCACCTATAACCTTGGATTCATCACCTCAATTGCCTTTCTATAAATTAAGTAGTGGGGCCTAAGCCAAGATTTTAAAACTCTATGTTCTGTGCATGTGTATGTAAATACAGTGGAAAAGGCTCATGGGAAGGGTTTCTGTCTCCAGAACAACTACTTCAACTAGTGCAGCTCAACTTTTACATGCTGAGCATTCTAATGAGCTTTCCTTTGAAGAAAATGTTTCCTGGATTATAGGAAGTTTCAAAACTGTCGGAACTGCTGATTTCCTAAATCCTCTTTCCAGACTCATCTTACGTTCTATGCCTCAATCATTGCCAAGCTTATAAAATGATGCATTTTAATTATTGTTTATATATAGTTATGCGAGTGTTGAGCTCATGGTCATTGCTCAATCAGTATTTCTTGAGTTGAACTGAATTAAATTTCATCAGTTCTGGAAATGGATCATACAGATTCTTTTCCTAAAATGCAAAACAAAACAAAATGCTCCATCTGAGTCATCAGGAAAGCTGATAAACCAGACAAACCATGGCCATGCCCTTGCATAAAAAGCAAGGTTTAGCCACACCTGGGAGCTTTCATGCAGTTTTGGCCACTGGACCTTAAATACTAGGGAAGATAACAACCTTAAAGTCCAGGGAAGGTGAAGAAAGAAAGGTACCGTAAATGCAGCCCGAATGCTCAAGGGAATAGTGGCCAGCCAGGCATGCCAGAGGCGGATAGATTAAACCATTAATGGAAGGCTTTAGCCCTTCCATATGAAAATTGAAGGAGTTATGATCAAAGTCTAAAACCCGTGAGGAATGTGAATATGATGAACACAAATTTGTCCATCTAATCCTGGAATGTTATTACGAGAGAACCAACTTTCCTTGCAACGTTAGAGAGGTGAGTTTAGGCCAAGTGCAAGTACTGCTTTACATATGAAGTAGTTAACTATATGGCTAATTACTCTCAGAGTTCAAATAAACTGAATGCATAAAACTCAAACTCGGCGGGTGGGGCGAATGTAGAAGGTTGATAGGGCCCCCACCTCCAGCCATTTCCAGCAGTGTGATCTAGCAGTTGTGCCCAAGAAGGGGAGGAGGAACTCTGCCCCCTGGATAGGGTGTTATTCTACAGTTAAGATAGACCAGTGGTCTTCTCCTAGTTCACAAACATTGGACTTCATGCATGGCATAGTCTCCTTTCTGTTTCTGATCTCACAATTATACCTATCAAGGAGAGAGGCAAATTTTCTCATAATTATTTTTCAAAATATTTGCTTATTTTTGCTAATATCTAGTAAGTGATAACTTGGCACCAAAGTATAAGTGTGCACATATATAATACATGAATCTATCCACATACACATATACATATACATGGATATTATATATGTTGGTGTAACGTGTATGTGTGTGTGTGTGTGTACATATAGATCAATAAGGCAATTTTTCTTAGTGGTCCACCAAGCACCCTATGATTTCTGGATGTTCCCCAGCTGGGTAGAGATGGAGATGACAACACTTTATGTCGGGGCAGCCATGGTATGAGACTGCCTAGGAGGTCCTCGTGCTGAGGCGCTGTAGTTGGTTCTACCTCGGCAGCTGGAACTTTGGCTGAGGGTGGGCTGTGCCAGGAAGGGGAGTTGAAGCATAATAAGGTTGGTCATCTAAGTACCAGATAATGGGGGCCTTGGGTGCTCTACTATAAATGGTATTATTTCCTAGATAATGGGACACTATTGAGAATTTTAAGCAAGAGAAGCATGAGGAAGTTTATCTTTGAGGATGCTTACTCTGGAAGCTGGGTGGGAGGAAGCTAGATTGGTTGCAAGAGTGAGGCCAGAGAGATCTGTTGCGTTAGAAGTGATTTGTTAATATCAGAGCGAAAAAACATGATGGCTTGAATTTACAACAGCAGAGATGGGGATGGAGAGAAAGGACAGGAGGGGTTTTAGACCATCATCCTTGTATTCTCCTCCTCCCCAGTGAGCTCCTTCCCTGTACACTGCTCTCTC